TATCTCCTCCTGTCTTCATTGAGAGTATATGTTGAAATGCTTTGGACTCTATTCTGTCTCTATGAGCTTCCTACTATTTAGATGGATATGGCTAGTCTTATTTAAACATTTACCATCAGAAAAAAAAACCACAATCTATCTTTTTGGGGGAATAATTACTCAAGACAGGCAAAAACTCAGTCCCAGTACCTCCATCTGACTTCACTATTGGGTGTATTGATCCTGAGATCATGCCAGGAGGATACGTGTTCCTTAGCCTTTTGTTTCATCTTGCTAGAAAGTCACAGCCTCAGACCTTACTTAAAGCCTGTATGTATACCTGTTTTCAGAGGAGAAAGGAAGGTGAGCTAGGTTGATTAACTCAAGAATTGTTGAAAGTTTTGTAAGGCTTGCAGGGCCCGGTATGGTTTTGTGATATAACTTGTCATTAATACAATAGGCTATCGGCGCGACGAATCTGCAGTTTCCCCACGTGCTCCAGATCACTCTCTCCTTTGATGTAGGGTCAGAGGCTGTTTCCCAGCACTGTGGCAGGCCTTGCCACCAGAATAGATTAATTTTGTCATTACCCTTTCTCAATTTCTGTCTTTAACCAGAAAAAAGAGGTTAATTGTGTTCCATTTCTCAGGAGAATGAGGTATCAGCTTTTTAATTCCTGATATTTTATGAATTGTGGGCAGCTAATTAAAACTTAAAGATTAGAGGAGCTATTTTAGCTAAGAGGCCATTTGCAGGATTGTGAAATGAAGAGAACAAAGGATTGTCTTTTCTTTTTATTCCTACAGCTTCAATGAAACTTCATGCCGAAATAGAGCCTGGAATTGTTTTACATACTGAGTATTCATTGTATTGATTCTAATTTTAATTTTGCAGCAAGTGGTACAGTATCTGAGAGCTACTGAGGGGTCAACATTGAGATTATTGGCTAATGTATGGAGGCTCCATTTGACCTGTCTTGACTTCTGGGAGACATCTTAAAGTCAGATAGGAACCACTTACAGATTCTATTAGATGTCCTTAATTACCATCTCAGAACTCATACATATCACATCTTCTGTTCTTCCTCACAGTTAACTCTTTGAGTTGCACCACAGTAAAGTAATGGACCTGCCACAAGCGTTGGGCTTTTTCTTCGTTCTTTTACTACCTGGTTGACTTTCAGTCTATTCCATGTCTTTGGCTACCACTGAAATCACCAAGGGCGTATGTCTTTAAGATGTGAATCAAGGAAACCACTAGCCTCTACCTTATTTTGCGCAAATTAGAAAAAACTCCACATCTTCAGCTGATGCAGTCCCCACAGACACATGGCTTAGAAAGCCAAGTGTGGATGGATTTTAGGTCCTACCCACCTCCTGACTATGTTCACTTAAGCAGGGCAGAACCCATGCGACAGATGACTGTGGCCATGATTCAAACAACTCTTTCCATCTTCCATTTCTCAGACATGTGTCTTGATATATTTCTTGATGTAAAATAAATTCTTCTTTCTCAGGTGGCTTAGATTAGATAAGAATGAACCAATGTCCAAATGCCAACTTCTTAGGTGCAAAACCAGGCTGGGCTCATTTTTTATATCCTGACCTCCTACTTTTTTATTCCTTCTGTGCAGAATTGAATAAGCAGCTACTAAGGCCTAGAAATAACCATGGTGGAGCAAAGAAGAGAACACATTCTTTCCAAACAGAGGAGTGTGGGCAACCACTCTGAATCTGTAAAGAACTGGGTGCATTCTAAGAACTGAAATAAAACCAGCAGATTGAAGCTTAGGGATTAAGGAGAAGCATGAGGTGAGATGAAACTGTAAGGATCAGAAGGGACTAAATGAGGGGTTTTGAGTCCATGCTTTGGATTCAGGAGTTTTACCCTAGGAGGAACTGCGATTGATTCAGATACTTAGTTTTAAGTACAGACATAAGATGATCAAACTAGTATTTTAAACAGTAACTCTGGTCATGAAAAATGAATCAACTGGAGGAAAGAAAGCATGGATGTGGGGACCTGTGTCAAGCCTATGGCCCCAGTTTAGGCAGTGGACAACGGGAAGCCAAACATGGCCTTGGTGAAATGTAGAGAAAAATGAACCATTCTGAGAAATCTTCAGAAAGTAAAATCCGCAGGACTTGGTGATGGATCAGCCTAGGGTGTGAGCAGAGGAAACTGATGAGGGTGACTCCCAGGTTTCTGGCATGAGTAACTGGGAAGGATTAGTACCATTTCCTGAACTGTGGAACACTGAGATGTAGGTTTGGAGTGTGAGATTCTGAGATCAGTTTTGGACACATGGGATTTAAAATGCCTGTGTGACCCCTCCACGGTGAGTTGGCAGTTATGTATGTATGCTCTGGAACATGACTGAGAGCATGCAGTGTGGAAGGCACATTTGAGGCTCACAGTCAGCAATTTTGGGTCGCATCAGTCTGCCTGGTTGTATGATTTTTCAGCCACAGCACTTAGTAGGTCAGAATAACCAGAGATGACCAATGGTTAGATGGGCCCAGGGTGGGGAGTAGCTCAGCTGGCTATGGACAGAAGGGCGAGGGATTATGAGTAGGTGCAGTATTGTAACGATGGACAGGGGCATTCAGGATGGACAGGGAGGGAAGAGAAGACAGAAAGGAGGGTGAAGAGGGTGGGGAGGAAGCCAGTGAGCCAAGGGTTTTGCAGCCCCACAAGACTAATGGAATATCAGGTAACACATAAAGGTTATAGACATAGCTGAGGTGAGATTTACAGGTCCCAGGGCTTGGGACTAAACATCTTTTGGGCCATTATTCAGCCTACCACAGGATACTTGAGCAAGGAATCAGGAAGGATGGGAGGTTCTGGTCACAGAATTGGGTATTTACACATTTTCACTACTTCACCTCCAAAATTACAGTCGTCATTTTTGGAAGTGAAAACTTCAGGTGATGTTGAAGTCAAAAATGGGACCCTGAAGGTGGTATCTGAACTAGAAGGAAGGAGTTATTTATTGGAGGTGAGGTCAAGGAGATGAGCACCCATATACTAGGGAGGCGTCCACACGGGCTTTGAAGTCATTCTGGACAATGGCAGAAACAGCAGTGGTCAACTGTCGAAGTCTTTAAACAATGTGGAAAAGTGATTATAAATTAAAAGAGGACAAAAAAGGAGGAAATATTGTTGGTGGGTAGAATGCAACTCAAAAGGTGGAAGGGAAACTGTCTTGAAGCCATTTTCAACCTATACCACTCGCTTCAATCTCTGACTTCATCACTTAACCTTTCTTGCAATATAGCAAAAGTTATGTTTTGGGGGGAAATTCTAGAAACTACGTAATCATGCCTTGTGATATCTTATTTGCAACAGTGAATCTTTGTGTAAGTTTTACTTTTTAGAATATACTTTTGATACCAGTTATTTTGTCCTTCTTTGAATGATCTTCTAAATTACTTTGCAGGTAAACATGGAATGCTTTTAAAGATTTATTCTTGTAAAAGGTTCCCTCCCCCAACCCCACTGCAAATGAGACAAACCATGAAATCTTTAGCACAGAGAAGAGTTGTTTAGTTCACTTAGTTTGAATCATGGTTTTCATCGGACGTATTTCTCTTCTGGGCTTTATTTCATTTACATAAGGGCTTAAATTTAATGTAGAAAACATCTTACCCAGCGTATACCTCAGTCCCTAATTCTGCCAGTTTTCCTCTCTTCCCATCCACACTTGACCATCACCTCTTCCTATTTTGAGCTAATCCAGATATACAATACGTGCCTGGCACACTGTGTCAGGAGATCCTTTTCCGTACACAGCCTGGTCAGTAGTGCACTGGATGGATAAGATGTGGCTTGGGAGCTGCTGGGACCACAAGTCTGGTGCTCCTCTGGAAGACAAAGGGCTCCGAAGGTTAGAGATGGGTGGGCAGCATCAGAAAGCATGGTTTGCTGCTTGCTGTTGCCTTGTATTTTGGCCCACTGTGGACACTGTCCTTAAAAACTGTCTCTCATTTTTCTTTCTGCAGTCTCTCTGGGTAACGTCATTTCTGAGCCCCACAACTCTCAAATCTGGCCTTCTGGTTCAGAGCCTGTGTGTGTGGCCTGGATGCATATACTGCACCTCCTCTGGGAGATCACACAGCACACCCCTACTCCACCTCCGTCCCCAGCTGAGCTTCCAGGGGAGCACCTGTTAGTGTGTGACAGGCCTCCCAGACAGCTGCTGACTGCTTCTTAGGGGTGGACTCACACTGGCATTGAGGCTGGCATCCGGGCTTTCCTGAAATTCTTCAGGCCTGAAGTAGCCTCTCCTCTGGGCAGCAGCTCTAGAGCATCTGAGAACCACTGCTAACCCTTGAGATTTTGTAAGCCTCTAGTTCCCGTATTAAAACCTGCTGTGCTCGGAATACACAGAGCAGCTTCTGTTTCCTGACCAAATGCTGTCTGATTCAGTAATTGTTAGTGACCTCACCACCTGCCCAGTTGGCTATGCCTTAAGCTTGGAAATGGTCCTGCACATCCCGTGCCCCTCACCACACACACCCAGTTGGTTTCCGAATTCTTTGTATTCTTTGGTACCTCCTTAATACAGTTTGAATCTGTCCCATCCTCTTCATTCCCCACTGTTGCCAACTTGGTGTAGAGACTAATGTATTCAGTAATTGGATTATTTCAACGGTTCCTAAGTGATTCTGTGCCTCCTGTGTCCCCTGGAACCCGGAAAACTTTTTCCACACTGTCGCCGGGTTCTAAAACACAACATTGATTAGATGCAACTCTGTTCTGATGTTCCATCCATGCCTAAAACCCCTCAAGCTCCTCACTGCTCTCAGGGTGACTCCCCATCACCTCTGCTCACCATACAGGTCAGCCATGCCCCTTCCAGGTCTCCACCTGTATCTTTTCCCCCTCATACCCTGCATTCCGGCCACATGGAAGGTCTTCAAAGCACCAGCCTTTCTCATTTCTTTGCCCTTCTCTGCAGCCTTCCCTTTGCCTACTTATTCCCATTTTGCCCTGTTGACTTTTTTTTTCCTTCCCAGGTCAGTGAGGTCTCTCCTAACACTGCCCTGAACCTTGAAGCCTGGATCACGGGCCTCATCACATGCTGCAGCGGCCCTGGGAAAGCACAGGATCTTCCAGGGATTCAAACCAGCCACAGGTGACCTCTGGGGAGGTCGCCACTCACTGTGCTTACCTGGAGTCTTCAGGGCTCAGCGCAGTCTGTGCAGGCAGGAAGGGAAGCAAGAGTGGGTGGCTCGGAAAGTCAGCTTAGACTCAAATGTGGTGAGCCCCGTCCACCCCTCCTGCTTTGGTGGTCTGGCTAAAATTCATACTTTACTTAATTTCCTCTTCCTTAGGCAATCCCTGTGTTGCCATGATGTCACATCTGCTCTCCTGTTTTCCAGCAGGAGGGAAATGGAGGAATTAAGTGCAGACACAGTAGGCCGCCAGGCGTTTGGCCTCGAGGCTCACACCAAGAAGTAAGGGGGCCTTCTACCCTTCCAGCCTGGACATTTTCACCTGAAGTACAAGGAGAGATAATCAAGGATATCTTGCTTTATCCCCCAGCCTCATTCCCAGGAGTCAGGTAAAGTCTTCCTTAAGGCCTGCCTGGTCCCAGATGGTGAGAATCACCTGATTAGTGCCTGCTTGGGATGCATCATTGATGTTTTTGTTAAGAGTAACTTAATTTACTTCTGCAACCCATTTTTATTGAGTGCCTGCAATGTGTCAGGTTCCATGGATCCTGATCCAGTTGTGCTTATGGTGTAGTGGTAATAGGAGATGACATTTTTAAGCACTCCCTGTAAGCCAGGCACCAGGCTAAGCACTTCACATGCATTAACTTGATGGATTCACTCTCACTTGATTCCACAGCCCTCCTGTGGGATGAGTGCATTATTCTTCCATTTATGGATGGGAAGTATGAGGCCTATAAATGTTCAGTAACTGGCTCAGGACTGGTGTAAGAGTCAGGTTGGCAGTTATGCTGAGGTAACACCCTCAAAACCTAAGTGGCTTAAAACAACAAGGATTTATTTTTCACTTACACTGCATGTCCATCATGCATGACAGATCTCTGCTCTACACTGTTGTCACTTTGAGACCAGGCTGCAAAACTCACACTGGCTTTACAGATATCACGTCCCAGGCCAGAACAAGTCATGTGGCCACAGCCAGTGTGTCGTGTGGGGAGGTCTAATCCTACTGCACAGGATAAAAGATCTGGAAATGTTTGGAAATAGCACCAGTGACTACCCCAGCCAGGAGATGGGAACCAGGAATTGGACCCAGGCACCACTGGGGAGAGAAGTTTACAAAGGTAAGAGTCTTCCAAATATTAGAACTCACGTAGGTCTCACTTGCTCTGAAAGGCTCCGACGTCAATTCATCGAATATCTAAACTGACTTCTTATCCCCGAACACTGACTGAGTTTGCTTCTGCTCACTCAGCACATACCAGACGAGACAGCAGGAGCCAGGCGCTGCACATCACCGCCTCTCGCTGGGGCTGTGCAGCTGCCACCAGGAGGCCCAGAATTCCTTGCGGAGCTTCTTGGCTACAAGAAACTTACAAGGTCTTCTAATGTAAGTATCAAGCCCCTGCTTTTATCCTTCTTTTTGTCTGTCTGGGGACCAGGAGCTCACCAAGTCCTCAGGCAGCCTTGTCTGTCATTGGATTTTCCAGCTAGAAAGAGTTTCTTGAGAATGAGCTGAAATGTGCCTCTCTGAACTTCCTTCTCAGACCACACACAACAATTCTAATGCCCCTTTCTCAAAACAGCCCTTCACATTTTTTAAGATGGCATTCATGTTCCCCCTGAGTCTTTCTCTCCCAGTTTGAAACTTCTCTAATTTAAAACACATCACAGCAAAAGTTCCACTGGGTGACAACATGGAGAATCTTCATGCAATTCTAGATGTGTCTCCTTTCCTTCCTCTCTTCCCTACTTTTCCCCCCTCCCCCCATCACAGTGCTAATAATTTGATAAGAGGGATAAAAGGGGATTGGCCAACAAATAGTGGACATCGCCTGTGGCACCCCAGTCACTCCCCCAGAGCAGAATGTCCATGGCGCCCCGTGTACACCCACCTAGCTCTTTCTCTACAGCCACTTCTTACTAACAGATTAAGGTCTGCTGCCTCATCTCTGCCTGCCTCATAGGGTATTGACAGATTAAAGTAAATAATCCAGTAAGTTGTCTTCCCAGTGCCCCATACATAGTAAGAATAAAACGTTAGTTATTATAAGAAAAAATTAGAGCAATGTTAGACAACATCTATGGCCCACGTAATATATGTAATGATTAGTGGTGACCACTTGTTCCTCATATTAGGAAACGTGGCATGCTATTATGTTGTGGACATATTGGCAGATAACTGAGGTTTTGACTATGTAAGTCACGTGAAAACATAAAAATATGACTACAGAGCAGTACAGAAGGACCTGATGTGCACCTTCTTTCTTTTGTTAATGATTTGGATGAGCAATTCCTTCTACCCTTAATGATGTGAAGGACAAAGGCAAAAACCTGTAGACTCTTGACTCTATAAAGTTAGAAGGGATTAATTAAAACCGGGCTAATGTCTTACAGGGATTTAAAGAAAAATAGCCAATATAGCAGAAATGCAAACTCCACCTGCTGTTGAAAAGCAAGGTGTCCTTTGATATGGCTTGATAACTATCTAGTAAGTAGAGACTTTCCTAGTGTAGACCAAAGGTCTTCTACCCACTAAGCTGTGGTGTGAGGCTGAAAGACCATTAGAACTCCAGCCTTAGGGTACCAGGTGGAGTTTTTTATTGTTAATCTTTTTATTTTGAAGTATGTGTTGCCATGATGTCACATCTGCTCTCCTGTTTTCCAGCAGGAGGGAAATGGAGGAATTAAGTGCAGACACAGTAGGCCGCCAGGCGTTTGGCCTCGAGGCTCACACCAAGAAGTAAGGGGGCCTTCTACCCTTCCAGCCTGGACATTTTCACCTGAAGTACAAGGAGAGATAATCAAGGATATCTTGCTTTATCCCCCAGCCTCATTCCCAGGAGTCAGGTAAAGTCTTCCTTAAGGCCTGCCTGGTCCCAGATGGTGAGAATCACCTGATTAGTGCCTGCTTGGGATGCATCATTGATGTTTTTGTTAAGAGTAACTTAATTTACTTCTGCAACCCATTTTTATTGAGTGCCTGCAATGTGTCAGGTTCCATGGATCCTGATCCAGTTGTGCTTATGGTGTAGTGGTAATAGGAGATGACATTTTTAAGCACTCCCTGTAAGCCAGGCACCAGGCTAAGCACTTCACATGCATTAACTTGATGGATTCACTCTCACTTGATTCCACAGCCCTCCTGTGGGATGAGTGCATTATTCTTCCATTTATGGATGGGAAGTATGAGGCCTATAAATGTTCAGTAACTGGCTCAGGACTGGTGTAAGAGTCAGGTTGGCAGTTATGCTGAGGTAACACCCTCAAAACCTAAGTGGCTTAAAACAACAAGGATTTATTTTTCACTTACACTGCATGTCCATCATGCATGACAGATCTCTGCTCTACACTGTTGTCACTTTGAGACCAGGCTGCAAAACTCACACTGGCTTTACAGATATCACGTCCCAGGCCAGAACAAGTCATGTGGCCACAGCCAGTGTGTCGTGTGGGGAGGTCTAATCCTACTGCACAGGATAAAAGATCTGGAAATGTTTGGAAATAGCACCAGTGACTACCCCAGCCAGGAGATGGGAACCAGGAATTGGACCCAGGCACCACTGGGGAGAGAAGTTTACAAAGGTAAGAGTCTTCCAAATATTAGAACTCACGTAGGTCTCACTTGCTCTGAAAGGCTCCGACGTCAATTCATCGAATATCTAAACTGACTTCTTATCCCCGAACACTGACTGAGTTTGCTTCTGCTCACTCAGCACATACCAGACGAGACAGCAGGAGCCAGGCGCTGCACATCACCGCCTCTCGCTGGGGCTGTGCAGCTGCCACCAGGAGGCCCAGAATTCCTTGCGGAGCTTCTTGGCTACAAGAAACTTACAAGGTCTTCTAATGTAAGTATCAAGCCCCTGCTTTTATCCTTCTTTTTGTCTGTCTGGGGACCAGGAGCTCACCAAGTCCTCAGGCAGCCTTGTCTGTCATTGGATTTTCCAGCTAGAAAGAGTTTCTTGAGAATGAGCTGAAATGTGCCTCTCTGAACTTCCTTCTCAGACCACACACAACAATTCTAATGCCCCTTTCTCAAAACAGCCCTTCACATTTTTTAAGATGGCATTCATGTTCCCCCTGAGTCTTTCTCTCCCAGTTTGAAACTTCTCTAATTTAAAACACATCACAGCAAAAGTTCCACTGGGTGACAACATGGAGAATCTTCATGCAATTCTAGATGTGTCTCCTTTCCTTCCTCTCTTCCCTACTTTTCCCCCCTCCCCCCATCACAGTGCTAATAATTTGATAAGAGGGATAAAAGGGGATTGGCCAACAAATAGTGGACATCGCCTGTGGCACCCCAGTCACTCCCCCAGAGCAGAATGTCCATGGCGCCCCGTGTACACCCACCTAGCTCTTTCTCTACAGCCACTTCTTACTAACAGATTAAGGTCTGCTGCCTCATCTCTGCCTGCCTCATAGGGTATTGACAGATTAAAGTAAATAATCCAGTAAGTTGTCTTCCCAGTGCCCCATACATAGTAAGAATAAAACGTTAGTTATTATAAGAAAAAATTAGAGCAATGTTAGACAACATCTATGGCCCACGTAATATATGTAATGATTAGTGGTGACCACTTGTTCCTCATATTAGGAAACGTGGCATGCTATTATGTTGTGGACATATTGGCAGATAACTGAGGTTTTGACTATGTAAGTCACGTGAAAACATAAAAATATGACTACAGAGCAGTACAGAAGGACCTGATGTGCACCTTCTTTCTTTTGTTAATGATTTGGATGAGCAATTCCTTCTACCCTTAATGATGTGAAGGACAAAGGCAAAAACCTGTAGACTCTTGACTCTATAAAGTTAGAAGGGATTAATTAAAACCGGGCTAATGTCTTACAGGGATTTAAAGAAAAATAGCCAATATAGCAGAAATGCAAACTCCACCTGCTGTTGAAAAGCAAGGTGTCCTTTGATATGGCTTGATAACTATCTAGTAAGTAGAGACTTTCCTAGTGTAGACCAAAGGTCTTCTACCCACTAAGCTGTGGTGTGAGGCTGAAAGACCATTAGAACTCCAGCCTTAGGGTACCAGGTGGAGTTTTTTATTGTTAATCTTTTTATTTTGAAGTAACTTTAGACTTGCCTAAAAGTGGCAAAAAAGAGTAGAGAGACATCCCACATACCCTTCACTCCAGCTTACCCTTATGTTACTATCTTATATAACCACAGTATAATGATCACAACCAGGAAATATTGATACATATTTGAAAATTGATTTAATAATTAATAATTAATGGACACAAAACATCAATACAATGATATTAACTAATATAGAGATTTTACTTGAATTTTACTAGGGTTCTCTGATGTCCCTTTTCTGATCCCATATGGCACTTAGTTGCCATGTCTCATTACTCGCCACTGATCTGTGAAAATCCTCAATCTTTCTTTGCTTCCATGTTTGGACACTTTTGGAAAATGCTAGATAGTCAGAAACCTTTGTTTTCCAGATCAAGAAACTAAGACCCAGAGAGTACCACACAGTCAGATCATAGTAAAACTCTCAATGTGCATCTGTCTGATTTTGTTTTTTCGTTAATTCAATGAAGTTAGGCACTTTTGGCAAGAATACCGTCAAAGTGGTATTGTACCCTTCTTGGGGCATGGTATCAGCAAGTACATGACATTTCTATGTTACGCCTTATTGTTAGTGATGTTAAATTTGATTAATTACTTGCTTAAGGTGATATCTTACAAGTTTCTCCAGTTTTTTTTCCTTTTATAATTAATAAAGATCTTGTTTTCAGACTATGTACATATACTATCTCTCATCGTACAATGATTACTGTGGAGTTTGTCTTGTTATTTTCTAATTGCCCCATTCTTTCTATGTTTATTAATTCTATTGTCCCTTCTCCCATTCTTACTTATTTATATTATAAGGGACTCATGAATATTTATTTAACTCTGTGGGTTATAATCTTATTACTATCATTTAATTTCTTTCTCAACTTGTTCCAGGTTGACCACTGGAGGATCCTTCAAGTTGGTTCCTGTGTCCTTTTGACACACCCCATCATTTTTTTTTGACCCTATCCTTTCTTGAGCACTTCCTTATTTTATGGAACTACAAAATGTCTTAGGCTCTGTTTTTGTTTCTTTCTGCCCTAACTCTGGAATCAAGTTTTTCCTTAGGAGCTCTACTTCAATTGAGTGGAGAAACCAAGATCAGGGTGCTAGGCGACCAGATGGAGTTTTAATCAGCAAAGTAAATACCAGAGGGAAGAATAAAAAATAGACATTGGTGTTTAGACTCCATGGTGCCAGGTAACAAACTAAGTTCTTGATACCAAGCATATTAGTTATTAGGTATTTGCTCTGTAACAAATTACCTCAAAATTTGGCAGCTTCAAACAGCACACATTTATCATCTCACAATTTCTGTGGGGCAGGGAATTCAGGCATGCCTGAACAGGGTCCTCTGTTTCAGAATTTCTCACAGGCTGCAATCAAGGTGTGGATTGGACTGCAGTCATCTTGAGGATCAACCGGAGATAGATTTGCTTCCAAACTCATGTTGTTACCAAGATTTGCATCCTTGTGGGTTGTTGGACTGGAGGCATTAGTTCCTTGCTGGCTGGACACTGTCCTCAGTTCCTGCCACTGAGCTTCATCAATAAGGCAAGTTTGCTTCAAAAAGTTGTTCAAACTGAGAAGGCAATAGAGAGAGTTTGTTAGTAAGATGGAAGTCACAGTCTTTTATAACCAAATCAAGAAGTGACATCCCATCATTTTTGCCATATTCTGTTCTCTCTACTTTTGTGCCATACTCATTCTCATTCAACTCTGATTACATAAAACATCTCTTGGTATTTCCCCTGTCTTCCTCCAGGGATGATAAAAAACATATTCTGCCATGGAAACCAAGATGATACATGGCCACATAGCTTACATTCTAGAACTTGAAATATTTGTTTTTCTGAAATGTAGCTTCTACAAATGATGTTTGGCCAAATCCAGACTCTGACATTGAATAAGATAATGCCTGTGGTTAGATTAGAAGAATTAGGAAATTGTTAGCCCTTGGCAATAGGGATGTGGTGTCTAATCTTGATGTGCTTTTGTCTTTATTTAACAAAGAAACAGAATTTTTGAAGCTGATAAAGACCTTTGCAGACCACACTTTAGCTTTCTTTGTTTCCTGGATGAAGAAACTAAGACTTACCAAGATGATGATAGAACTCACCTGTCAAGAACCCTAGGCCAGGATACCAGATCCTGACTGAAGCAGAGCCCACAAGTATTTCTGTAACAAAAATGATTATTTATTCTTATGAACATTTAAAAAAACTTTTTGGTTTACCAAGATTTCATTCTCTCACTCATCAACCTGAACTGGGGAGTCACTCTGTTCCTGACGTGTGCTGGAGATACACAGATGCAGGAAGCGCTGCCTCACTTCTGGCATAGCACAGAGCCCGTGGGGAGATGGACGTGTGAACACACAGGCCTATCAGAAAAAAGCACAAGGCCGTGATCTAGAAGGTACCTCAGATACAAAGACAAGAAGCCAATGCAAGTCACTTTGATTATTTTTCATTAAAGACGAATGACATCTTTTTGTCGTGTCACAGAGACTCACCCGTGGCTAACTTGTTTGATTTCCCAACCACCTGATCAGATAGGTGTCAGATAGGCATTGGAAATCCATAGCAATAGTTCTCACAGTGGTGCATATGGGCATTTTGAGTGGGATGGGCTTGGCTTCGGCCCATTGAATTCCAGGAATGAGCACCCCCAGATCAAAAGCCAATGGCCCAGCGCCGCCAAAGGTGTGCATGGTGGTCGAGAACCTCTGCCTAAGCCAACAGGCAAGTGTCTACTTGCAGCGAAGCTGCTGAGCTCACACTGAACACAAACAGAAGCAGGAGGGTGCTTTCCCAACAGTTTGGGAGTGTTAATTTGGAACTGATGATTTTGGCTGACGATTAATTACATTTGCCACACACAAGTATCACATATGCCTTAAAAATAGCAAAGATCGCACCATTTTACATTAGCATTTTATTAACTCTGCATCTCGCCAGTTCGGCTTTGGATTAGGATAGACTAATGTTTATTTTTGCTTTGACTTTGATAAATGAGTTCAGAAAGCCAAGACATAAACAAATAAGACAGAAATAGTTTTACCTCGCTTATGCACAAGGAACACCACTCATTTTGCACGTCAAACACAAACATGTAACTCATGAATGACCCTCAGAGAAAACCGGGGCCCCCACTTGATAATTATGTGGGCAATTTTTAAAAAGCAAGTGTTGGTTATGTACCTATCTGTATTAGTTTTCCTCGAACTGCTGGAACAAATGACCACAGAATGGGTGGCTTATAGTGACAGAAATCTATTCTGTCATTGTGGTGCTGGCCAGAAGTCTGAGATCAAGATGCAGGCAGGTGGTGCTCCCTCTGGAGCCTCTGGGGAAGATCCTTCCTTGTCTCTCCCAGCTTCTGGTGGCTCCAGCCTCTCCCTTCAAAACTCTTTCCCTTCTTGAACTCATAACCACGACACGAAGATCGTCTCTGGGCCTTTGTAATACTGCACCCTGTGGCCGGGACACTGCCTCCCTTCACAGCCCCTGTTCTGGTGTCGTGCCCAATGTCCCCACAGCCCTGTCTCTTTCTCGATCTCAGTGTGTCCATGTCCCTGACCCATAGCTCTCTTCTTCCTCATTATTGTGAGCCTGGTGCTTAGTGCAATGCCTGGAGTACAACAGGTGCTTAATAAACATTTTTTCAGCGAATGCACTAATAAGCTAAGGAGGTTGGGAGGTAGAAAGGTCAAGTTACTTTCTATGTAGTAAATGTACTAATTTGTTTAACTTTCCCAACCACCTGATCAGATAGGTATGTACACCAGCTCCATTGTATAAATGGTAAAAATAGAGACTCAATGAGATAAAGGCACGCAAACTGCTTTAAAACCTTTTTGGAACAATTATTTAGAATGAAAGGAGCTAAAAATAAGTCGTGTGAAGTTGGCAGAGGTGGAGGAGTCCGGAGGAGTCGCCACCAAATGTAAATGGGGTTGTCTCTGAGTGGTGGGTTGTGCGATTCAGTTTTTGTTCTTGTTTATCTGAATGATTGTTTGAATGAAAGTGTATTTAGAATGTGAAGGCCAGCTGTGTTTAGGGCTGGAGTGAAGTGGGGGTGTAATCATCTCCTATGGAAAAGGTTAAAGTCTGGGAGGTGGGACCAGCCAGGGTATTAAGGGGAGGTTGGCTTAATGTTCTCAAGGTCTTGGAGCTTGAGTTTGGATTCAAGTGTCAAGTGATTTCTAATGTCATCGATTGCTTCTGGTGTAAAATTGTGGTCATGTTCAGCCACTGAGGATACCCTTTGCTTCTTTGTCCAATAAGAATATGTGTTTAAAGTGAGGCAGTCTAATTCGTGCAGCCACTTTTGCTTGTGAACATCTTGAAAAGATCCTTCTCTTTGCTATACTGCCGTCAACAGGCACTGTTTGGTGTTTCAGACAGAAAAAAGAATCCTTCCTCCGTGCTCTTCCTGCTTCTGGAATGGATATAAATAGTCTTATGCTTTTAGTTTTTTTGTGTTAAATTTTATTCAGGAGATTAAATGAATAGCTCTCAAAGGCTTTCTGTTCAGCCTAGCCTATTTATTTATGTTTCTTCGACAATTTTAAGTGTGGTACTGAACAGACTATCAGCAAAGCCCTTCCTGTTAGGCTGGGTCCACCTGCTTTCTCCCACTAACGGCTTCAGCAGGGCCCTTAGCGGGGGTGGGGTCCTATGCATCCCTTGATGCACCAACACTTGTGGTCTGATGCCTCCAACATTATTCCTTTCCTGGGAGGTAAGCAGACTTGTGATTCTGTCTTGCTGTTGTCCTCTATCCTGTTTGCGTCCTGAGGACAGAAGCTCTTATTTAGACCTCTAAAAGGTTGCATGGTTCTAAAATTCTGGAATTTTCCCCTGAAAAGTGTAGAGCAGGTGTTTAGTCAGAGTTTTCCAGAGAAACAGAACCAATAGGATGTGTGCATGTATATATATATACATACATACATATATGTGTGTGTATGTATGTATGTATATCAGAAGGAGACAGAGACAGAGAAATTTTAAGGAATTTAAGGAACGTGCTCCCAGGATTATGGAGGCTGGTAAGCTTAAAATCTGCAGGGTGTGTCAGCAGGCTGGAGACCCAGGGAAGAGCTGATGTTGCAGGTCAAGTGTGAAGGCTGTCTGCTGGCAGAATTCCTTCTTGCTCCTCTGAGGTCAGTCTTGGTTCTCTTAAGGCCTTCAACTGATTGGCTGAGACCCACCCACATTATGGAGGGCAGTTTGCTTTACTCAAAGTCCACCAGTTCAAACATTCATTTTATCAAAAACTCCCTTACAGAAATATCCAGAATAATGTTTGACCAAACATCTGGGCATCCAGTCACAATGACACATAAAATTAAGCACCACA